GAAAGCGCTCTGAGTGAAACCACTTTGTTCTAGAAAATGTCGCATTTGGATCACTCCCACAAGACATTGGAGGAAGCTGGGTAAGAGAAAATTGATATTTTGGAAAGTAAAACGTTTATCCTTCAAGTGAGGTCCTTCCGGACTAGAAAGCCAGGACACACTTTATGCCTGATTCGTTCTGGTAGAGAGTAATCATCCGAAATCCCATTTGCATGACATATTTTCAGGGGGAGAACTAGACTAATGATGTAAGCTCGTTTTCAGGGGGCAGCGCGGTTGTGACTCGCCACGAGTAGACAAAGTCGAAATCTATTAGGAGAACCAGCTCCGAAGGTGACGGGATTACATAACAGCCAATGGAATAAGAGTTTTTGTTGAGACAGATTTCATTGGTTGTTCTTCACTCGTCCTTGACAGATGAGTTGTATTCTTACTATCACTTTTTTGACCGCTCGTACGCGACAGTCATCAATAGAGCAGCTGACCCGCACGTTCGTTGACTTTTTCTGGTTTGGCTAAGCGCACCAGGCGATCAAGTGGCTATCCAGACCGGGGTTTACGGTAATCAGGAGGCATTACGGGACTGTGGTCCACAATAAGTTGGCGACGGGGATAAGATCACGGAATGGCTTCGGTGGCAAACGTAAGAGAACCTTCAGTGACACCAGGGTGACCTGTTTCAATCGCATGGAGCTCCAAGGACGTGATCGGTATGCTACAGCAGTAGTAATCATTTGGGAGAAGCTTCCGTATTATCAATGTTCGCAGTTTCTGTGCTTGCGACTGGTGGACACTGATCGGTTTAACAGACATTCGGAGCTACGTGCTCCTGACCAGACACGATTGCGGCGTTCATCACTGGCACAGCAAGACTATACGTGTCGTCCATTATGTCTTGGTGACCACGTCACGGTTCACCCTCCCACGGTGTCACGTGTGTCATCACCGTCTTCGCCTGTGAAATGGAATAATATTAGAGGTGGTTGGGCCTGTTCGCCGAGCTTGGTAATTATCTTATGAACGCTCCGTCCGAAGTCGAGGAGACATCCTCAGTGAGCAGTTAAGAGGGCGATTCCTCCTTACTTGTCTGCATTTATATAGTCTTCGAAGAGCATCAAATATTCTCTTATTTGATTAACCTATTTGTATATACCTTTCTTTTGATCCTATTGGCCGGTTCGAAAATTCACTGCGTTGTGGTCTGCAAAATTCGTATTTCATTGGTTTGGGGATTTGGGCTCGCCTTCGATTGGCTCATTCCCGGTTTGTGTTGCATTGTAATATTTCTCCCTTGAATTCAATCGGTTTTTTCGACGACTCCTATTTTTGGTATTTGCCTTCGTTCAGGCTGATTGGTCCGCCCCTAGTCTGTATCGTCCTCTCATCTTCTTCAGTTTGATCAGTCGGTTACACTTCCCCGTTTGATGAGCAGAATGTTTGGAGAAGATTTTGAGAGATGAGCATTCGTTTCCCCTCATTGTACAGGAAGATACCTTGAACCATTACTGTGTTGCCCTGTGACATCTTGAGTTCTTTTCCCAGAGTGGAAAGATTAGAACGTTGTTGAATTCCGGTGCGCTACCCTCTCTTACTCAAGATGGTGTTGATCGACTGAAGATGCGAGTTCTTCAAGATCAGCTTCAGCCTCTCTTCTACTCTGCAGTTGCATGTTTGTTTGTTGTATCTCTCTGACAGTCGGAGAAAGCCCCAACGACCAGTTAGTTCACTTTTATTGGGGCAGTCTACATGCCGAACGAAGCTCGTTGGTTGGTTCAGGATGTTCTTGAAATGCCTGCGTCATACACTCAGCAGCTCCGCTCCAGCTCCGTAGCAGTAACAGGGAGAAGTTGGATCCCCAACTCTCTGACTTTTTCAATCTGTTTTCCTCGATTTCGTCCTTAGTGAGGTCGGGATTCTGAATCAGTTCGCTGCCACCACACCAACCAGGTTGACTTGATCACAGTTGACCCATCTGTTCAGCTGATATCATCGACATTTTATAGGTGTGTGTGGGGAGATGGCTCAAGTGGTTAGAGGGCGAAT